TTTTTTTTTTGTATATATATAAGGAATTTGAGCATTTTTAGGGATATGAGCACCCGCACTCTTAAAGTGGAAGTTGTCCAACAACTTCTTGAAAACATCCCCGTCTTAATCTGCAAATTAAAGAAAATATTCCCGCCAACTTTTTTTGACGTCATGGAACACCTAGTTGTCCACCTCCCGTATGAGGCATTACTTCGTGGACCCGTGCATTATGGATGGATGTATTAGTATGAAAGGGCCATGAAAACTTTGAAAGGAAAAGCCAAAAACCTAGCAAGAGTTGAAGGTTCTATTGTTGCGGGAAGTTTGACGGAAGAAACATCACATTTCACATCGTACTACTTTGCACGAAAGTACGTACAAGGAAACGAGCTCCAAGAAGATATGATGATGGTGGTGTCGTGCCGACATATATGGAAGACGATGTTCAAGACATCTTTTGTCAAATTGGGCGATTGGGTGGGAAATTGAAAGAGGTTTGGTGGTCGAGTGATGAAGACGTCCATAGTGCACACCTTTATATTCTTCTTAATTGCGAGCATCCATTGATTGCTTATTTTGAAAGGTAAATATATAAATATACACCTTATATATATATATTTTTTTTTTCAGTACTAAAATATAACATGTATGATTTTACAGCCAATTTGAGACTCAAGTCGAGGAAGCAATACCTGATATATCGACAACTGAGTTAGACAAAAGAAAAGATCAACACTTTATTAAGTGGTTGAGGAAACATATATTTATTTATTACTTAAATTGTATGCATACATTACCATGCACAAAGTAAGTCTAATGTCTAGTTATATTACTTTTTGTTGCAGGTTGATTATGACGATCCTTAGTATCCCGCATGGTTTCGCGAATTACTTCAAGGTCCAGTTGCAAAGGTCACTACATCATCGATGTATTTCACCCGAGGCTATACTTTTTATACCTATGAGTATGGTAGACACCGGGCGACAAGTAATTATTGAATATGTGTGAAAGGCGAAACAGATTTCTATGGGATCTTGCAGGAGATTTATGAAGTTCAATTCCCAGGTATGAGTTTGAAATGCGTTATCTTTAAGTGTGAGTGGTACGACCCCGTCGTCAACAGAGGTGTTCGGATTAACAAGAACAGTGTAGTTGTTGTCAACGGTGGACGAAGGTACAACAAATTCTTCTTTTTTTAAAAAAATTCAGGTTTCCAGTATTAATTAATTTTTACATTGATCTTTATTTTTGTAGGTACAACAAGTTCGAGCCTTTCATATTAGCTTCCCAAGCAGATCAAGTTTGCCTCATTCCATACCCTCGGATTATTACCTCGGGAATAAACTTGTTAGCTGTTATCAAAGTTACACCTCGATGACGAATAATCGCTGGAGAAGAACCACCATTACAAGAAGAAAACACCAATGAGATCGAGGAAGCTGAAGCAGAAATTGATGAGTTCCTACTCATTGATCCGCATAATCGTGAATACAAAACTGTTCCTGATCACTCCACGGACGAAGGTGTAGACGACGAGTTTTTAGAAAATGATGATGTCTCAACAAATTACGACAATGTATCCAAATGAATTATGTATGTTTATAAGTTTGTTTAATCACAAAAATGAATTTGGATTATATATGTTTTAAGTTTGTTTAATCACAAAATCAATTTGCATTTAGGGTTTGGGGTTTATGTGTAGAAGAGGTTAGGAGTTTGGTTGTAGAAGAGGTTATAAGTTAAGGAAGTTGTGGTTTAGGGTTTGGGGTTTCGAGTTTAGGGATTTATAAACCCTTTCCTCGTAAAGCCCTAGTAATAGAAAACACTGGCATAGCCGTTTCCTCGTAAAATTCTAGTAACAGTATTACTAGGACTTTACGAGGAAAAAAACGCGGGCATAGCTATTTCCTCGTAAAGCATTTTTCCTCGTAAGGTACTAGTAATTGTAACAGGGGCATAGATATTTCCTCGTAAAGCCCTAGTAATGTTACTAGGGCTTTACGAGGAAACAAAATTCCTTATATAAACTCGAGCAATCCGATTTCACATTTTGTAGTAAGCTTCTCTCAGAATCCTCTGAAGGTTCTCTCTAATTCGTAGTTAGGTGATTAGATTAGGGAATTTAGATTAGGTGGTTAGTTTAGAGAATTTAGATTAGGTGGTTAGTTTAGGTAATTTAGATTAGGTGGTTAGTTTAGGTAATTTAGATTAGGTTGGTTTACTTTTTTTATTTTTTTTTTTAAATTATACGGGAATTAATGTTTTGATTTTTTTTTTTTTAAATATAGATGCCTAGACAGAGCAAGATTGCTAGGGCTGCTGGTAAGAGACGTCGTCTCTTCAGGAGAGTCACTACGGAGATATTTTTGGGCGTCAGGATGCTCCGGGTTCATCTTCGTCAGCTCCCGGTTCATCTTCGATTCCGGATCGTGACGCTGTTTCTAAGACTCAGAGACTATCTACGGCGTCCCGGCAACCACCTCCTCCTCCACCACCACCTCTTCCTCCTCCACCGGTCGGGGTTCATCCCGATTTGCAGGTGCCGCCGAACGCACCCTTTGCGGTGTACACGGTGGAGGATATTTTGGCCCTTCAAGGCAGAGAAGGACTGCCAGAGTTGGATCCTATCCGACGGGACGGCCAAAACGTATTATGGTATGTTTTAATTTTTTAATTTTTTTTTTTAAAATTTATTTCTTAATTAACAAAATATTTACAAATTAATCTAATTAATGATTTATTTTGTGTCTTTCCAGGTTTGGTCTTGACAATTGTGTCGCAACTAGCGTCACGAACTGTATCAAGGGATACTTTCCCGATGGAGCTCCAAACTGGAAGAAGACGGCGAGCTACACAAAAAAACACGTGGTTCAAATCGTTCGCTGTAAGTTTAATTAATGATCAACTTAATTTATTTTTAATTATTGGAAATTATTAATATTATTTAACTAATCCGTCTCTTATTTTTTATATGGTTACAGCAAAAATATCGTTGGTCTATTGGGATTCACCAGCGGGTGAAGACGGAGTTTGAGGCCAAGGCAAGAGCACGATTGCTCGACATGGTTTACAACTGGAAGGGCGATTTTCAGGTATAGATTTATAAATTATAATATATATATAGTTTTAAAAATATTATTGACTTTAATTCTAATTATTTTAAATCAGGTGGATGGTTACGAGGACGAGAAACCCGATTGCCTCACAACCATGGTGTGGGATGGCCTCATCAGCTATTGGGGGTTGCCGGACTCGGTCAGAACCTCCCACACAAGCATGGCAACACGAAGATGCTTCACAGCACGGGCCGAAAACCTCACGGGGGAGTTCGTCTAGACATGGTAAGATGATTTTTAATAACCATTTAATTTTTATTTTATTTGAATATTCCAAATTAATATTTAATTTTAAAAATTACTTTTAGGCTAAAGAGACAGAAGTTCTTCAATCTCTGAAAGACCTTTACGAGAGGACCCACCGGAACAAGGCTGGACAGTTTGTAGATCCTGCTTCCGAGCGGATCTACAACGAGGTTGTTGCCCGAGTTGACGGACGCCAGACCCAGCTGACTCAGCAGACTGGGATTCCAGTCGTATTATCCACTCTTGAAGTGGATAAGATTTACGAGGAGGTAAATAATTTGTTTTACTATAAATTTTTATTATTTATTTAAATTTTTCTTAATGTTATTAATATTTTTATTTACAGGTCGCCCCTAGGAAAAAGGGGCGTATCGTCGGGATTGGCTCGGTTAACGATGTCCCTGCAGCGACATCGTCTTATGCTCAGGAGCAGCACAATGTCAATGCTCAGCTGCGCTCAGAGTTGCAGGCGAAGCAGTCTCATGTGAGTTCGCTCACCGAGCATGTGACTTCTCTCACCGATGTCCTCGACATTTTGGCGGTTGTAAACCCGCAATTGGAGGAGATGTTGCGTCAGAGACGGGAACGCGGAGGGATTCCAACCCAACAGCATCCACCATCACAGTCATAGCCGGCAACCAACTTTGGAGAGGAGCAGGATTTGGCGAGCCAGGACGAGTTCATTCGGCAATTTCACGACCAGCATCCGTAGTTTTTTTATTTTATTTTTAATAGTATATTATGAATTTTAAAACTTAATTGTATATTATTTAGTTATTTATAAAATATTTTATTTTTTTATTTTTTATTTATAATTTGATTTTTGTATTTTTTAAAAATAAATTATTTATTTTTATAAATAATTTTGTTTAATAGGGAAAAAAATATTTCGAAGCAAAATCCTCGTAAAGTTTTCCAAGTAAAGTCCTCGTAATTAATTCTAGTAAGTTCCTCGTAATGAATTACTACGAGCTTACGAGGAAAAGCTAACTACGAGCTTACGAGGAAAAGCTAACTACGAGCTTACGAGGAAACGCTACGAGGACCTTACGAGGAAAAGCTAACCACGCCTTTACGAGGAAAAGTTTCCTCGTAAATTTTCTAGGACCTTACGAGGAAAAATGCTTTACGATGAACGTGTTTCGACGAAACGCGTTTCCTCGTTATTTCCTAGTAAATTGACATTTACTAGGAAATAACGAGGAAAACCCGTCCTAGTAATTGACGAGTTTTCTTGTAGTGTATTATTCCAGTTGCATTTTTTCACTCTTTTAGTTGTACTAGTTATACAATACTCAACTGTATTAGTTAAACTAGTTATACTTTTGATAGTTGTACCAGCTATATTACCTATAATAAGCGTGGTTATACTAGTTATACTGATTCTGTTTTACAACATTTTATTACCAGTTGAAGTAGTTTCATTCTTTTAGTTGTACTAGTTACACTTCTTATATAATTACTAGTTATTTGTTAATTCAACCCTATGATAAACATTGCTAAAACCATTTGGCGCGTCATTGTCAATGGCAGCAGATCCCGTGGCAGCTTCAGGTGCATTTGAATCTCTGTTGTTAGATCCAATCTGCTCTCGTTCCTATTTTTAGTTCTATCTTATCATAAAATTTTCCAAAACATTTTAAATTGATTTTTTACCGTTCTTTGCACATCATTGTTAATGGCAGCCTCGGGTGAGCGTGACTCTCTGTTGTTAGAATTTATTGGAGCTTGCCGTGAATTATCCGCCTCACTGGGTATTAGAGTAGGTGATTTTTGTGACTCAATCGTAAGTGATGGACTTGGCGTAGCCTCTCTATCATCCAGAGAAAGCGAGTCCGCTGATAGTGTCGGGGAATGATTGAGATCGGCTTGATGTTCTGGTGGAGTTGCAGTCCGACTCCGTTTGATTGGATTCGATGAGGACCCACCGTCTACACCACTATCTCGCTTCCTCTTCTTCTTTGTGGTTTGAATCTTCTTCTACGTTGCATCTCTCTTTTTTTTTCCGCGGCTTCTCTCCTCCTTTTCACCGCCCCTTGTTTTTTTAGGGCAGAGTCCTTCTTTTTCGCCGCAGCTTTCTTCTTCTCCACCGTAGGTTTCTTCTTCTCCTCCACTGACTCGTTCTTCTTCTCCGGTGCACCTTCCTTATTTGTATTGCCGGAAAAATGAGTCTTTGGAGCCATACTTTTTCTTTTCCGTAACACGAAATAGAGAAATAGAGGAATGAGATTCAAGATAATTGTTGCAAAATTTGATTAGTGAGGGGAGATAGAGGGAGATCGTAATTTGAGATTGTGTGGAGTTGGTTATGTCGAAGAGAAAAAATTAGGGATTTAGGATTGCCAAAAATGCAGGCCGGATCGGGTTACTGGTAAATGGGTGGGTAGACTGGTTGGATTTGTAAATATGTTGAAGTTTTAGGTTTTATGATATTTTTAGTTTAATTTCGATTTATTATTAATTCATTAAAAAAATAAAAATAGAAGTGTCCTATTCCAGATTTTTTTGTTCCCATCTGGTCCATATCAGCAGTTGATTCCTTCTATGGTCATCTAACATATCCAATGTATTTTGCTATTTTTGCCTCAATAATAGAGAAAATTTAAAATAGAGATGTGTTTTGATCCAATGTGTTTCTCTATAATACAGGTCTCTAAATATAGAGCAAAAAATAGAGGAATGCTATATCTTCTTCTATAAATAGAGAAAAAATAGTAATATCTATTCTAGAGGAAGAAATAGAAGTGGGATAGAGTAGTTTTGCCAATGCTATAATAGAGACAAATATACTGATGGGTTGGAGATGCTCTAATACTTCGCCATTTCGAAGACATCTTTTCCATAGCGATAATATCCAATGGCCATATCAAAATCCGCTTGAGTATTCATCAAGAACGGACCGTACTGAACCACATGTTCACCAATCAGTTCTCCAGCTATTATAACACACATCAATTTATTTGAAGATGACTTGTATCACACGCTAACACCGTATTCCCTGGTCCGTACACAACATTTTTTTGTGCTGAAACAGAGGAAGCATTCAGAGGAGGAAAAAACAGCTTCGCTTTCACCGCTTTCTACGTGAGCAAACGCAATCCAAGATTTTGTAACATCCTATAGAACTGAACTCCTGGATCAAAAGAAAAATCGAATAACATTGTCCGTGGTATTGTGTAAACATGAGAGTGAATTCTCATTGATTCACCTGATATGACTTTGACTTGGACACCGTTTTCTTCTGCTTTTGGTATGTCAAAAGTCGACAATTTCTAGCAGTCTTGCTCTTCCTGGCGTATATTAAACCAATAGAATACTTTCTGGTTTAGAAATTTAAAATAATGTGTCACGCATATGAATTTATCTACAAAGTTGTGAAGATCATTTCAAAATGAATGATCACTATCCATGATTAACGACATATCTAGAAGCTTTTAGGGTAATTCTTTTTGTTCTTGCACCTGTACATCATTAGCATAGTTTGTACTCGTATGGTCTTTAAGACCTTGATGAGTAATTCTTCCCTAGTGTCACAAGTGTTTTATCCAAATCCTGGCTATGGGCTGTGAAGACTAAAGTATGGGCTGAGTGAATTTGTGTCGAGGCCCAGGAGAAACTGAAGTCAAGCGGAGAGGCCCAAAGTCTTATACTTAGCGTTTTGATCAGTTTCGTCTTGTGTGTGTGACTAGAAAAGAGAGGAAACACGCCATGTGCAAATCGTTATAGAAGAGTGAGATGGCACACGAGTTGAAGAATGTATCAGAAGGAATCTAAGCTAGTATAAGAGAAGAAAGGAAGTGAGTAATCAAACCTGGGAAAAAAGCTTTACATCACATAAAGATCTGAGAGGGTGAGAGAAACACGTGAAGAATCGGGTGTGTGATCATCTTGTTCTGGTGTACTCTGTTCTTAGGTTCTGGGTGAGTGACGAGAGTTGTTGGTGAGAGGTGTGAGTTTGGTAAGTGATTACATAGCTTTTAATCGGATTCCTTTCTTCAGAGACGTACCAATGCTTCATTAATAGCCTTGGGAACTATAATCTTTTGTATCGTTGATATTCCTAAAAACACAAACACACAAGTTGTTGGTGAGAGGTGTGAGTTTGGTAAGTGATTACATAGCTTTTAATCGGATTCCTTTCTTCAGAGACGTACCAATGCTTCATTAATAGCCTTGGGAACTATAATCTTTTGTATCGTTGATATTCCTAAAAACACAAACACACACACATATCATCAAACCAATATTAACAATATTATTTGCTAGATAATCAAACTACAACTACACTACACCTAGAGATAAATGAAAGAAAAATATCAGAAGAAGTAAATTAGACATGTACCATGGATTTAGAGTGAAATATGTTTTATTTAAAAAATAAAAGATGTTTCTCTTATCTATAGGACGTTTGTAACAGTTTCAAAACTTGATCAACATAAGTTTGACAAAAAAATTGAGACATGTTATGTAAAACTTATTTTCTAATTCATATATGTACAAATGTAATGTGTATATGTGTAGGTATGTATGTTTTGATGATCAAAGGTTTGTCATGTGTAGGTATGTATGTTTTGATGGACGAGATTCGTAAGGATCTAGGTGGTGAAATCTCTGCGCTCAGAGATATAATAGAAAAATTATTTGCTAACTCTCCACCCCTTACCCAACGAGAAGGAAAGCAAGGACAAACATCTTCTGATCTTACAGCTGCAGAAACAGACCAAGACCAGACCCACCTGATCGTTTTTCTATAGACCAGAGCACAACAAAACAGATCAACGCAACCACGACCACACGCAGAACCTAAACCACGACCATACACAGCCCCAAAACTAGAGTCTACCTAACAAATTGTCATTACGTTTGACGAAGATTGGGTTCCCAATGTTTTATAATGTTGCGAGCAATTCTTCTCAATTGATAGTACTCCAACAGAACTAAAGGTTCGTCTCACCTCTCTACATATGACCAGAAGAGCTCTACAATGGCATCACACCTATATCGCCAACCACTAAAATGTGTTCCCTCTATGGCCAGAATATGTTGCTGCAATATCTGAACGCTTCAGTGAGCTTTATGACGCCCCATTATCCAAGCTAGTCAGCATGAAACAAGGGAACGACTCCATTGATGTTTATCTTGAGAAGTTTGATTTTGTATGAAAAGAATCACTCTTGCTCCAGGTCATGCCTTGCGTATTTTATTGACAAACATGAACCCGCATTTACCCTTCGTGTTCGCCAATTCAATGTCACGACGGTACCAGCAGCAACAAGAATAGCAAAACTCCATGAGTTATCTCTATCACACACTCCGACAAAAACATCTCGACCAGCATTCAACTCCTCTCAATGATCAAATTTCATACAAAACAAGAACCAATACAGTGAGAAAACACCAACCACATCTAATCCCGCTGGAAATCAAAACAACAAACGATTACTCCCTAGGCACCTCATAAATGAGTTTCTTCAAAGAAATGCAGGAACGAAAATGTACGAGTTTGTGTATGTATTGCGAGGAACCATTCACACTGGTTCATCAACTTAAACACCGACGCTCTGAATTCTTGCTGTTGGAAGCTGATTCAACAGATTTTGACGAGGAAATCACATTAGTGGAACAAATACGAGAAACAACTATATAAGCATTCAAGAAGATAAGTTCCCCACTATTTCTGTACATGCCTTAAATGGCTGCCCAATGTTCAACTGTATGTGACTGATGGGTCAGTACAGAAAGCGAAGAATACACATACTCATCATTCCCAGCAGCATACATAATTTACTCGATCTACAAATAGCCAAGGGTTTGGGCTGTTCCCTAACATCAATTAAACCAATGTCAGACGTTGCAGCTAGTGGAGACTTGATTACTAACTGCAAATGCAGTTCTTTTATATGGAAGATGCAGGGATAGGAGTTCAAACCGAAACGAGAACACTACTGTTGGGATGTAGCGATCTGGTACTAGGTATTCAATGGCTCTCCACCTTGGGCCCTCTCATTTGATACTTTTTTACCCCTGCTAATGGAATTTAACTTCAAGGGTTTGAAACATGTTCTCCGTGGAACAACACATAACTGTGGTAAGGTCATCACAGGAAACGGCTTAAATAAATTAATATTGCAGAACCACATCTCGCTATGCTTCACTTAAGAGAAGTCGGCGACACTATATTACCTTAGCAGCCACTTACTCATGAAGCTATCTTCTACCACATTTAGGCCAGTGACCCAAAACTCGATGTGAACGGATGCTGAGGCAGTTACTCGGCTTCTATGCTGATATCTTTTAGGAACCATCATCTCTTCCTCCATTGTGGGAAGGTTTCAATCAAAGATCTCACTCAAAACAGGAGCCAACCCTGTCAATCTACGACCTTACTGATACTCACTCATTTATGCAGAAAGACGCAATCGACAACATGATTTTTGAGATGCTCGACCAAGGAATCATCCAACACAGTTCCAGTCCTTATGCATCTCCAGTAGTTCTTGTGAAGAAGTAAGATGGATCATGGTGTCTATGTGTGGATTATAGAGGCTTAAACAAACAGATGGTCAAGTACAAATATCTGATCCCTCTACAGGAAGATCTTCTAGATGAATTGGGTGGTGCCAAGTTTTTTTCAAAACTAGACTTACGCGATGGTTTTCATCAGCTACGAATGTCACCTGAGGATGTGCATAAAACAGCATTCAAAACCAACTCTGGTAGTTACAAATACATCGTCATGCCTTTTAGACTTACCAACGTGCAATGTACTTTTCAGGGTTTGATGAACCACGTCTTTTGAAAATTCTTACTCATTTTTGTCGATGATATATTAATAAACAGTAACACTTGGGAAGATCACCTCGTCCATCTGGTATGGTCTTTGCAATCCTGCAACATCATCAACTATACCTTAAACAATCTATGTGTACCTTTGGAGCAACAAAAATCGAGTATCTCGGTCATTTTATCTCTTTTTCTTGCGTCAGCACCGATTCAGCCAAGATAAAAGCGGTTGAAAGTTTGCCCATTCCTAGTAACCAAAAGCGATAGATGCAGTTTCTTGGGTCTTGCAAACTTACTATAGGCGCTTTATACAAGGTTATCGTGTCATCGCTCCACCGCTCACACTAGTGCTTCGCAAAGAGGGGTTCTCATGGAGTCCCGTAGCAAACTCATCTTTTCA